AGTCTACTTGCTGATTATAGGGTTTCAGAAACTCTATTCGATACTTATTTTGAAACAATCCTGTTCAGTCAGTTATCTCATTTGCGTGTTAATTTTTAGTTTTTTTTTCGGCAAATACTTTTTCCTTGTCGTTTTTTCATAGGCACCGAAACATTATGTAGTTGAATTATACACAATAAGTTTAAATAATTGGAGCTGCAAAGCACTGTGAAACAATAAAAGGTAAAACTATCGTTTGAGGTAACAAGACTGCAGGTAGCAGTGCTGAGATTTGAATATTCGCCCTGACGAAAAGGTATCTCACTGAACTTGTAGAAATTTTTTTGGCTACTCATCCCTCCACGCGCAGCTTTGAGTACAAAAGGGTATAACCCGTTTATATAAACCAGTGTACATAAACCAGCCAAAGTATAAACCAATCGAAAAAGTGCAGATTGTATAAACCCGTCGAAAAGTTACGACAAACAAAACTAAAGTATATAAAGCAGCCGAAAAGTTACGTCAAATGAATCAAAGTTGCATATAACTTTCGTAACTGTTATATTATTTTACATAACTATTACATAACAATTACACATTTTTGGCTGGTTCATGTACCACCGTATACACGCGTTAGTGGTAAAAACAAGCTGAATTTACCTCAATATGGAATGTTTGTGAGATTATTCAAGTAACTGGTTGGTTACTTGTAAACATGCACTTGAGAAAAATCATCATAACACTTTTAAGATGAAAATAATGTTCATTTCTATCCTTCCTATTTTTTGTTGCGAATGATCAGCGCAATGGTTTTTTTCGGCATTTGTTTTCTGTTTTTAAAAAAAGCTAAATCGAAAACGCCTAATTGAAAAGTCGAAATCTGATTAAATATAAACACTATCCAATCTTAATTTTTCCGTCATTTTAATCCAAAAAAAAAAGATTTCGATTTGCAAACTGACTTTTTTGAGGAAAAGAAAATAAAAACTTTATCTTTTTGAATTGCTGATTAAACTAAAAATTTTTGCAAACAAGTTGACTTAGCGGCATCAAATCTTCCAAATGGACTTCAAATCCGATCAAACATTGATAGTAATTATGAACAAAAAGTATATACAAATTTGTTTTCGACATAGCGCAATCTCTTTTGTTCAATTGCTTTTTCCAGGTAGTATAAGAAAACGATAGCCAGTATTTGAAAAACAAATTTTGATGTCATAAAAAACTGTTTCATCAATTTATTTGAATGAAGCTCGAAATTTGAAAAAAAAAAAAATTCTAAGGACGATAAAAAACCGTTTCCTGTGGAAGCTGCAATCAAACTAAGAAAGCCCATGAAAAAAATGAAATAGCGACAAATCGAAATTGAAATCCTGGCAGTCATAGTGTTTTGGGAACAAGTTTTTTATTTAGCTCAATCTTTCTGGGTCTATTTTATGGCACTACAAGAATAAGATGTGTTCTCACACGTGTGAACAAAAAACGGCGCGACAATCAGTTTATGAATCATTTAGGTTGAAGAGAAGCAGTTTTCTTCCACTGAATTGCCACTAAGCAGACAAAAATCTCGTCAGTTTGATCAAAAAGTAAAGTCCTTAATTTTTGATAATTTTCAAAAACCAACAGACTGAAGAAATGTTTGCTTTTTTGTTATAAATTCCATCTTTGAGATCTGGTTACAATTTAAAAGCAATACGTTCAGATTAATTCATTGGTGTTTTGTTTGATTTACTGCTTACACTTTTAACTATTTTATCGCTTTTACCTAATTGATTGATTTTCTGCTTACTCTTTTCTGCGAATTGTTTCACCCAATTTGATTTTTTATGTTCGAATTTGACCCAAAATGAACCCCTCAACTGACCAGTTTCGAAACAATTTTTTTTGCATCAAGATTTTTCATACTCCGTTAAAAAACCGGTCAAAAGAAGAAATTTGTTCATAGAAAAAACTCCTAGGCGCAACTTCAACGATCCTTGTCCTAACGAAAATTATCCGAGTCTTTGGTCTTCTCCTCATACAAAGTGACTTCATCACAAACCTTTAAAGACTTCTGTAATTTTGCTGAAAACCGAACAACAGTTTGTTCCCGTGGGTTAAACCAAATTTTTGAAGATAAACCAATTTTTTTAAATCAGTATCATTCAATCAGATTCCAAGTTGAAAATAGATGCTTTTTATACGTACATAATAAAGTGCCCATACCAGGGCGAAACAATGATTGTTGCTATTGTCATTTGATGACGATGAAAAAAATTTTGTATATTGAAACAAAGTTCATGCATTTTTTTAATTTTTACATCCCCACAGTCAATTTAGTGACACAATTTGTAACAAATTGGCAATGGCACCATTTTTCAGGGTAAAATGATTGCCTTAATGCTCCGCGACCACTGAAAGTGGGGAGGAACATTCTCTTCGGGTTTTAATTTTTTACTCATGTTTTTCAAAGCCGAATCAGGTACCACAAAAATGCATGGAATAATTTATCAATCTACGTACTTTGCAGTTCAACTTAAAGCTTATTGATGTGTCTTCATCAAAAATTTCTAAAGGTAACGAAAAAAATTGTCAAAAAATTTTTCAGTGTTGATTTGAAATTTAGGATTTTTAGTATAACTTCCAGCGAAACTGGTTTATAATTTTGAGCAAGCAGTTGTTGTGATAGAGGAAAAAGAAGTCAAAACTTATCAGTACTTTAGGAAAAAAATTCTTTTTTGATGTTTGTGTAAGCTCCTTTTTGTCAATAAGTTATTTTCAATTTGTTTTCTTTTTTTCAAAATTAGGTTGATTTTTTTGATATTGTTTGTTTATATATTTTTTTTCACTAAAACTGTTATCAATTAGGCAATATATCCATACTGTCATTTAACAATAAGTAAAAATGACCTAGACAATTTTCCTAAGTGTTATATTATGATTGATATCGGAACATTTTGTGCTATTTGCACAGCAGCGGGCTACCTTTTTTCTGATTCTAAATAACTTTTTTGGGCACAACAAAATCAATTTATGCGAAACTTTTTAATTGTTTTTCTCAAAATGAGACTTCTATAAAAGATCATAAATGGATATAAAATCTCTCCTAAAATTCTCTAAAAAAAATTGGGCTGGAAAATTTTTTAAAAACAAAATAAAGTGTATACTTTTGAAGTTGCACTCCTAAGGACATCAAGCCATACAAAAAACTTTAACTGAGCTCTGATGTTCATCTTATTTTGAGAAAAAAAATTGTGTGTTTTTTGGTTAGTTTTATCTCTCTGAGTATATTTTTTGAACCAGTTGTGAAAACGCAATCTGGTATTGGTCTTATTATTAGAGCAAAGCAAAAAACGTGTGTTTTTGGAGTAGTATAATCTCAATGAGTCTATTTTAAGAACCAGTAGCGTAACCTGTTGTCACCGTGGTAAAAATAAAAAAAAATTAATTTAAAAAAATTTGATTTTCAAAGTTTTCTGTTCAAAACAAGCAGAATTTCACCTAGACCGACCAAACGAAAAAATTGCCTATCATCAAATTAATCAGTAAGTTAAGTGATCTTGATTTTTTCCAAGTAAATAGAAACAATTAAAACGGCTTCTGTTAACACAGGTAGAAGAAAAATTTGAAAAGTTTTTTGTGATTTTCTGATCGGTTAACATAATTAGATTAAGTGACTGCCTACACTTCAAAATCACAAAACTAATCACGAGCGTTACCTAGGCCAATTTGAATGCTTCTTTGCATTTGATTTTGGTCTTTTTTGCGTTTTCCAAATTTTTTTTTTATTATTATTTTTTAAATTCTGTGTTTTTTTAAATCCGGCAACAATTGATGCCCAGTAAACTCTAAGTTCAAGTGGCAATAGTTTTTTCACTGCTTGTGATATGACAAAATTATTTAAATATCGCCAGACATCAAATCCAGCTTAAATGAAACAATGAACCGTAAATGAAATAAAGAAACTTTAGTTCTTTTATATGGGATAATCTCCCTACACAGAAGAGTAAAGAGAAAAAATTTGTGTCCCGCAACGTATTAATAAGGCAAATCTATTTTCGCGAATTCAATTAAGAAGGTATATTGAATTTTATTTTTCTAGAACCAAACCAAGACTGAAAAATTTATAATCTTTGAATTACTATCTTACGCTAGCAAACCCTTGAAAGCTTTGAATTGTAAAAAATATCTTCCGAACGGATATTAAACAACCCTCTCGCACAAGCATTACTTTGAAAACTGTAGAACAACTTGTCCACTTTGAACCATTTCAAGCCTATTGCTTTAGTGTTTCTCAAATCAGGATCTTGAAGTAGACTATTTGGACATATAAAGTCTTCCAAATGTCATCTAACCCGCAGTTTGGGCTGAATTTTTTTTCGGAACAACAGCAAAAAATGAATGAGTTAAGGGATGAGGCTCATATCAAAAAACCCCATTGAAAAAATGAAATGAAAATATAGCGGTTTTAAATGGATTTTGAAACGTAACCAATATTTTGAGAACAACAAAAACAACTTGTTTTTTGTCGAAATTCATCTTTTCTGCTTCTATTCTAGATCTACAAGAAAAATCATTTTTTCATCCCAATTGAGGTTTTTGAAATTGTTCAATGTTACCAAAAAATGTTTTAAAGTTTTCTAAGTTTAGGCTTGAGAATACTTTAAAAATAACAAAAATTGTGTGTACTTTTTAAATTGCACTTGAAAATAGGACACTCTCTCAAGAAATTGAATTGGTGAAATATAGTCACCCAAAAAACTTAAATGAAAATTGACAATGCTCTAATTTTCCAGAACAAAAAAGGCGTGTTTTTTTAGCGTAGTTAAACCTCTTTGATTCTTTTTTTAGAACCAGAAGAAAAACCCGTTGCACGCACACATATGAACCCTTCTCAAAAAGTGGAACTGGCGACATAAAATCATCCGGAAAGAACTTACGTGCAATCTGGTACTGGTCTTTTTAAGAGAGCACGACAACAAAAAAATGTGTGTGTGTTTGGCGTAGTTCAGTCTCTCTGCGTCTATTTTGAGAACCAGTAGGGAAATCTGTTCTCAACCGGGCCAATAATTTCACTTGAAACAAATTTCACTCGAAGACCAGTTGATTTTCAAATACTTTTAGTCACAACAAGCAATTTCTTCCATCAAAGATCATCAAAATCAAGCAGACGAAAATGTTGTCTATCGCCAAACTTATCAGTGAGTAAATTGCATTTTTTTTTCATGTATACAGTAACAAGATTTTCTTATCATCGCAAAATAATAGGTGTCCCAGGTGATCTTTAACGCCGAACAAACTGTTTAGAGGAAAAATATTTTGTTTTTTTTGCAATTTTTTTTTCATCGGGTAACAAATTAATACCAAGATGCTCGCTCTGATTCATTTGGATTTAGATCAATTGACTGCATACATTTTGAAATCACAAAATAACGGTTATACCACATTGGCTAGCCCAATTTGATTACTTTTTTCAATTGATTTTTGTTTGTTTTTTAGTTTTCCAATTTTGTTTAAGTTTTTTTGTAATTTATAATGAAATGTTTTTATTCTGACAACGAAATATGCTCAGCAAACTCCGCTGAACTTATTGGGAATAGTTCGTTCTACTGCCTATGCTTCGGAAGTATTAAGCAAATAGCGCGAGTTATCTAATCCAACCTAAAAAAAAACGAGTAGTTTGAAAAGTAAGCTCTAAATTTACAAGCCTCTAATAACTTTCAGTTCGCAGATCTCTGCAAACAAAAATTTCGTGAAAAACACTGTCAGGGATTTACAAGGTGATTTTGTCGTGACATTTGTGAGTTTGTTTCGAAGCTGTCCTTATCAGGGCAAAAAATTTTTAAACTTCGAATGCCTTTAATTGTCAATGAAAATGTTTCGACTAATTGAAGCAATAGAAACTTTCTAAGTGAGATTAATAAAAAATTCCTTTTTTTGCATGGACTAAATCAACAAAATGAATTTGCGTCAAAACAAAATTTATCAGACACAGCTATTTTCATTAGCTCTTTTTGGTATATATATTTATCGACTTTTGTTCTTCTAAAAGAACGAAGTGCTTTGCATGTGACTTTTCAAAGAGCTGAAAGCTGAAAAAACTCAATTGAGTTTCTCGCAGCGGCACTCTTCCCCCACCATTCCTCCTATGAGAATCAGTTTTTTGATCTGACGAGTAGTTTTCCGAGGTTAATTATGAAGAGCCAATTATTGTCATGGCCTAATTTTTCTGAATATCAGTTTTCATGAGAATCCGGCAATTTGAGCAGAAATTTTAATTAGAAAAACTAGTAGGCGGGAGTTGGGGAGGGGGGAGGGTAAGAGCCCTCGCAGCTTCGGACAACAATTATTTCAACTGATATTGAAAACTACTATAACAATTGTCTTGATAAAAAGTCAAACTTGTTTGAAAAAAAAACGAGTTCGAATAAACAATCAATTAGTTCTAAAAACGGAACAGGAAATGCAAGCTTTTCCTGGAAACTTTTGAAAAATTTGTAAGAGAAAACAAAAAAATTTCAACAAATCTCTGAAATGCAATGGCAAGAATTCTACTGTTGTAAGAAAAAATAACTCGACATTAGTTGCTTAAGGCATTTCAATTGAATTTTCTCATTCAACTGTTTAAATTATGCACTTTCAATTGTTTAAGTTAGGTTCTTGAACTCCTCCTAGTAGAAAAAAGTCTACTCAAGCAATAAAAGCTTTCTAAACTCTTTATAAACTCATACTACAACGAAGAAAGGACTCGACCTCTGAAAAACTGATCAATTTTGAAATACTACTTTAGCTAGCAAACCCTTGAAGCAGTTGAAATTAAAAAAATGTCTTTCGAACGGATTTTAAACAACCACCTCGCACAATCATTATTTTAAAAACAATAAGACAACATGTCCACTTTGAACCATTACAAGCCTAATGCACTAGTGTTTCTTAAATGAGGATCTTTAAGTAGTTTATTTGCAGATATAAAGTCTTCCAAATGTCGTATAAACCGCAGTTTGGGCTGAAGACTTCTTTCAGATGAAGAAAAAACATGAATGAGTTAAAGGCTGCAGTTCATATCAAAAAGCCCCATGCAAAAATTGAATAGAAAAATAGAAGCCTTCTAAATGTTCTTTGACTTGCAACCCCGATATTTTGAGAACAGCAAAAACAACTTTTGTTTTTTCGTCGTAGGTCAATTTTTCAGACTCTGTTTGAGAACTACAAAAAAATTCACTTTTTCATCAAATATGAGCTTTTGAAATTGTTCAATTGTACCGAAAAAGACATTGTCTGTAAACTCAATTTGGGCTTGAGAATATTATAAAAACAAAAAAGTGTGTTTACTTTCCAAATTGCTTTCGAAATTAGTAACCCCTCTCGAGAAGTTGAATTGGCGACCTAAGTCATCCAAAAAAAAAATAAATGGAATGTGGTATTGGTCTTATTTTAAGAAGAAAACAAACAATATCATTTTTCGGCTCAGTTTAGTCTCTCTGAGTCTTTTTTAGGCATTAGTAGAGAAACAAGTCACAACTCAAAATAGGAACCCCTCTCTAGAAATTGAATTGGCGACATAAAGTCATCCATGACAAACTAAATGCAATCTAAAAAGGTGTGTTTTTCAGCATAGTTCAGTCTCTCTGATTCTAATTTAAGAACCAGACGGAAAAACCGTTGCAATTAAAAATAGGAACCCTTCTCAAAAAGTGAATTAGCGACATAAAGTCATCCATGAAGAACTTGAATGCAATCTGGCACTGGTCTTTTTAAGAGAGCACAGCTAAAAAAAATGTGAGTTTTTAGGCAAAATTCAGTCTCTCTGCATCTATTTTAGGAACCAGTAGAGAAATCAGTTGCACTTCAAAATAGGAATCACTATCGAAAATTGAATTGGCGGCATAAAGTCATCCAGAAAATCTTGAATGCAATCTGGTTTTGGTATTTTTAAGAGAGCAAAACAAAAATATGTGCGTTTTCGGCAAAAATCAGTCTCTCTGTGTCTATTTTAAGAACCAGTAGAGAAACCAGTTGCACTTCAAAATAGGAAACACCTTTCAAAAAATTGAATTGAAGACATAAAGTCATCCAGAAAGTTCTTGAATGCAATCTCATATTGGTCTTTTTAGGAGAACAAAACATAAAATGTGTGTTTTTGGCAAATTCAGTCTCTCTGCGTTGATTTTAGGTAGGGAAACCCGTTTTCAAACGGGCAGAAGAAAAAATTAGTTTCACTTTAAAAAACCTAAGTGAAATCCAGTTGATTTTCATAAAATTTTGTTCACAACAAGGAACTTTTTCATCAAAATTCATCAAGACCAAGCAGACGAAAATTTTGTCTATGGTCAAACTTATCAGTGAGTAAATCGCAATTTTGCTTTTTTTTCAAATAAACAGTAACAAAAATTTCTTATCATCGCAAAGTTATGGGTAGCCCAGGTGATCTTTAACGCCGATCAAAGCGTTTTCGCCTTACACATTTAGAGGAAAAGTGTCTTGTTTTTTTGTAATTTTTTTTTCATCGAGTAACAAATTAATACCAAGACGCTCGCTCTAATTCATTTGGATTTAGATCAATTGACTGCAGACATTTTGAAATCACAAAACAACGGTTATGCCACATTGGCTAGCACAATTTGATTACAATTTGATTACTTTAAATCCAAATGAATTTTGTTTGTATTTTAATTTTCCAATTTTGTTTAAATTTTTTTTGTAATTTATAATTAAATGTTTTTAGTCTGGCAACAAAATATGCCCACCAAACTCCGCTGAACTTTTTGGGAATAGCTCGTTCCACTGCCTATGCTTCGGAAATATTAAGCAAATAGCGCGAGTTATCTAATCCAACTTAAAAAAAACGAGTAGTTTGAAAAGTAAGCTCTAAATTTACCAGCATCTAATAACTTTCAATTCTTAGATCTATATACACGAAAATTACGTGAAAACTGTCAGGTTCATACAATGTGATTTTGTCGTGACTTTTGTTAGTTCGTTTCAAAATTTTCCTTATCAGGGTAAACAATTTTCAAATTTCGAATGCCTTTAAGTGTCAATGAAAATATTTCAATTAATTGAAGCAATTGAAACTTTCTAAGTGAGATTAATAGAAACTTTCTTTTTTGCATGGACTAATTTAACAAAATGAATTTGCGTCAAAACAAAGTTTATCAGACAGAGCTATTTTCATCACCTCTTCTTGAAATAGAATGATTGATTTTTGTTCTTCTAAAAGAACGAAGTGCTCTGTATGTGACTTTTCAAAGAGCTGAAAGAGCTGAAAAAACTCAATTGGGTTCCTCGCAGCGGCTCTTTTTCTCCAACAATTTTTTCAATTGATATTGAAAACTACTATCAAAATTCACTTGCTGGAAAGTCAAACTTGTCTGGAAAAAAATGAGCTCAATCAAACTATCAATTAATCACTTAGTTCTAAAAACGGAACAGGAAATGCAATCTTTTCCTGGAATTTTTTGAAAAATTTGTAATCGAAAACGAGAAGTTTTCACAAAAATCTGACAAGCAATGGCAAGAATTCTCCTGTTTAAGGAAAAAATAAGTCGACAGAAGTTGCCTCAGGCATTTCAATACACTTTCAACTGTTTAAATTAGGTTCTTGAATTCCTCCTAGTAGAAAAAGTCTACTCAAGCAATGAAAGTTGTAAACTCTTTATAAACTCATGCAACAACGAAGAAAGGACTCGACCTCTGAAAAACTGTTGAATTTTGAATTACTACTTTAGCTAGTAAACCCTTGAAGCAGTTGAAATGAAGATAAAACGTCTTTCCAACGGATTTTGAACAACCATCTCGCACAATCATTATTTTTAAAAACAATAAGACAACATGTCCACTTTGAACCATTGGAGTTTTTGAAATAGTTCAATTGTATTAAAAAAAAACATTGTCTATAAACTCAATTTGGGCTTGAGAAAAATATATAAACAAAAAAAGTGTGTTTACTTTCCAAATTGCTTTCGAAATAAGTAACCCCTCTCGAGAAGTTGAATTGGCGACCTAAGTCATCCAAAAAAAAAATAAATGGAATGTGGTATTGGTCTTATTTTAAGAAGAAAACAAACAATATCATTTTTCGGCTCAGTTTAGTCTCTCTGAGTCTTTTTTAGGCATTAGTAGAGAAACAAGTCACAACTCAAAATAGGAACCCCTCTCTAGAAATTGAATTGGCGACATAAAGTCATCCATGACAAACTAAATGCAATCTAAAAAGGTGTGTTTTTCAGCATAGTTCAGTCTCTCTGATTCTAATTTAAGAACCAGACGGAAAAACCGTTGCAATTAAAAAAGGAACCCTTCTCAAAAAGTGATTTGGCGACATAAAGTCATCCATGAATAACTTGAATGCAATCTGGCACTGGTCTTTTTAAGAGAGCACAGCTAAAAAAAAATGCGTTTTTGGCAAAGTTTAGTTTCTCTGCATCGATTTTAGGAACCAGTAGAAAAACCAGTAGCACTTCCAAATAGGAACCCCTCTCTAGAAATTGAATTGGCGATATAAAGTCATCCAAGAGAAATTGAATGCAATCTGGCAATGGTCTAATTTTTGAGAACCAAAAAAAATTTGTTTTTCTACTTTAAAAACCAGACGGAAAAACCGTTGCAATTAAAAATAAGAACCCTTCTCAAAAAGTGAATTAGCGACATAAAGTCATCCATGAAGAACTTGAATGCAATCTGGCACTGGTCTTTTTAAGAGAGCACAGCTAAAAAAAATGTGAGTTTTTAGGCAAAATTCAGTCTCTCTGCATCTATTTTAGGAACCAGTAGAGAAATCAGTTGCACTTCAAAATAGGAACCCCTCTCTAGAAATTGAATTGGCGACATAAAGTCATCCGTGACAAACTAAATGCAATCTAAAAAGGTGTGTTTTTCAGCATAGTTCAGTCTCTCTGATTCTATTTTAAGAACCAGACGGAAAAACCGTTGCAATTAAAAAAGGAACCCTTCTCAAAAAGTGATTTGGCGACATAAAGTCATCCATGAATAACTTGAATGCAATCTGGCACTGGTCTTTTTAAGAGAGCACAGCTAAAAAAAAGTGCGTTTTTGGCAAAGTTTAGTTTCTCTGCATCGATTTTAGGAACCAGTAGAAAAACCAGTAGCACTTCCAAATAGGAACCCCTCTCTAGAAATTGAATTGGCGACATAAAGTCATCCATGACAAACTAAATGCAATCTAAAAAGGTGTGTTTTTCAGCATAGTTCAGTCTCTCTGATTCTATTTTAAGAACCAGACGGAAAAACCGTTGCAATTAAAAAAGGAACCCTTCTCAAAAAGTGATTTGGCGACATAAAGTCATCCATGAATAACTTGAATGCAATCTGGCACTGGTCTTTTTAAGAGAGCACAGCTAAAAAAAACGTGCGTTTTTGGCAAAGTTTAGTTTCTCTGCATCGATTTTAGGAACCAGTAGAAAAACCAGTAGCACTTCCAAATAGGAACCCCTCTCTAGAAATTGAATTGGCGATATAAAGTCATCCAAGAGAAATTGAATGCAATCTGGCAATGGTCTAATTTTTGAGAACCAAAAAAAATTTGTTTTTCTACTTTAAAAACCAGACGGAAAAACCGTTGCAATTAAAAATAGGAACCCTTCTCAAAAAGTGAATTAGCGACATAAAGTCATCCATGAAGAACTTGAATGCAATCTGGCACTGGTCTTTTTAAGAGAGCACAGCTAAAAAAAATGTGAGTTTTTAGGCAAAATTCAGTCTCTCTGCATCTATTTTAGGAACCAGTAGAGAAATCAGTTGCACTTCAAAATAGGAATCACTATCGAAAATTGAATTGGCGGCATAAAGTCATCCAGAAAATCTTGAATGCAATCTGGTTTTGGTATTTTTAAGAGAGCAAAACAAAAATATGTGCGTTTTCGGCAAAAATCAGTCTCTCTGTGTCTATTTTAAGAACCAGTAGAGAAACCAGTTGCACTTCAAAATAGGAAACACCTTTCAAAAAATTGAATTGAAGACATAAAGTCATCCAGAAAGTTCTTGAATGCAATCTCATATTGGTCTTTTTAGGAGAACAAAACATAAAATGTGTGTTTTTGGCAAATTCAGTCTCTCTGCGTTGATTTTAGGTAGGGAAACCCGTTTTCAAACGGGCAGAAGAAAAAATAAGTTTCACTTTAAAAAACCTAAGTGAAATCCAGTTGATTTTCATAAAATTTTGTTCACAACAAGGAACTTTTTCATCAAAATTCATCAAGACCAAGCAGACAAAAATTTTGTCTATGGTCAAACTTATCAGTGAGTAAATCGCAATTTTGCTTTTTTTTCAAATAAACAGTAACAAAAATTTCTTATCATCGCAAAGTTATGGGTAGCCCAGGTGATCTTTAACGCCGATCAAAGCGTTTTCGCCTAACACATTTAGAGGAAAAATGTCTTGTTTTTTTCGCACTTTTTTGTTTTTCACGTCGGGTAGCAAATAATACCAAATGCTCACTCTAAAATCAATTGTGTATCCTTAAATTGCGCATCGTCAGTTGCGTATCGTCAAATTTATCAGTGAGTACAGTGCTTTTTTTTTAAGTAAAACAGTATCAAGAAATCCTCTGAGAAGAAAAACTCTACTCGTGCAGTGAAATTATTATGAGAGCAACGAAATTTTCACTCGTCCTCTTTGAAATATGAAAAAATTTGTGAAAATGATTAACAAAAGAGATTGCTTGATAGATTTGAATATTAGAAACATCGTCTTCCGGACGAAAATTAAACAACTTTCACGCACAAACTTTTTTATAACCAAAAAGACAAAATTTCAGGTCTTTTGAAGTTGTGTTTCTCAAAATGAGGATATTGAATTAGTTCATTTGTTGATATTAGTCTGCCAAATGATCGCTAATTTTCCATATGGGCTGATGACTAGAGTAAAAACAACAAAAAATTGTGTCTTTTCACGGTTGCTTTTCAAATTTGACTCGGTGTCATGAAGTCTTCCAAATGGTCTCAAGTACAATTTTGACGTAGATAGTTTAAAGTAACCGAAATGGAAAAATTTGTCAAAATTAATAGCTTTTTTATTTTTGTATTAAGCTAATTGTTTCACTATGTCTGACCTTGAAAGTGCACACTCCTTTGGAATGAAACTATCACCATTTTTTAGCTCGCATTTTATAGAACATTTTAATACAGTCTTAGTTCGTATTCTTATATATTAATTTAAATAAGCTTAGTTTTTAGGGGCATACTATTTTAACATTTTAATAAGAGAGAATCTGTCTAGGTACGTCTTCTTTTTCTTTTTTTCAGTCAAACAAATTGATTTAGGTTTTTCTTTAAAAAAAACTAATTGTTTATTTAAAATTTAAAGAGCCCCTGTCATTGTGTAACTCATCTTAGATTAAATTTTTGCAATTTTTTCCCCATAAGTTTTTGATTTTTTTGTCAACAGGATCCACTAGAAGCCGAAAAGATAATGAAATGTTTTCGAAAACTTTTTTAAATATTTTTTAGCACAGCATGTTTCGCGCACCGAAGAAACATAAAAAAAATTCCTCAAAGTTTTGTACGTTTTCTCGTGTGTAGGATTCGAAAGTACTATTACTGGCTCTTCAGTAAACTGAATTTTTGCATTTTGTATAACAAAAAACTAGGATTTTAAAAAAAATAAATATCAAAAAGAATCATATAGTTTCATTTTTTTCAATTTTTTTGGTGCAAGGCGGTTTAAGCTAAATGATTGTTTTATAGCTTTTTATTTTGTACGCGTTGCGCTCGCCCCTCTTTCTCCGCCCAAAATTAGACTAGAACATTTTAAAAAAAAAACCTCGCACCAATTTTTCTCAGCACTGAGAAGCTTAGTTGAAAGTAGTTGTATGGAGTTCGAGTCACGATTACAAGCACATTCCGTAACCGAAACTGAAATTTTGAAAACGAAAAAAGTGCATGTTTGATTGAAATGCAGCTACTTAGCTCAGATTGATTGTTGGAAGGATGTTTAAGGTCGTGTTCTGCTGATGTGTTCATTGGTCTGCATCGGAGGTTTGAAAGGGTGGACTTGGCATTCTCTGACGACAGGATCATGTGGCTATTCTGATTGGATCCTTCTCGAAGGCAAATGTCACTTTATCAGTCCGAATTATTATCAGAAGCAGGAAGAGGCAGCAGCTTACTGTTCGAAATGGCGGTTCGTTCAAAATAATTTAAATAACACCAAGACCCCTTAACTTTTTCCTCGAGATGGCTTATGAACTGTGCGTTTGATCCCTGTGAACATGATTTTGACTGCTGTTTTTAAGTGTAATCTTCAAATAATTCAAACATTAAAACATACCGAAAACAACAAATCGTATTGAGAATACCTAGTTACTAAAAACAAACCAAATGAACTACAGTGCTGATTTAAATTATCCGGACGAAACGAACAAAACTTGAATTTTCAAACGCGTTTTTCTCAAATTGGGTTAAGATTAGACAAAAAGTGAAGAAGACAAAAGTTGCTTAGAATTTCACCAGAATTAATATGGTGTCATTTTTTCTCCGAAATTCTCAACAAAAATGTTACCCCAAAAATGGGTCATTTTGGCTTTTTTCAATTAATCAAGAATTACGCTGAAACTATTTTGTTAATTGATATGAAAATTATATCACAGGAAGCCTCTTACGCAGTTCAACAAAGTTTAAGAAGGGTTAAATCTCCAAAAACCAGTATAAATGAAAAAAATTTCACTTGATAGTCAATAAATGTGATTTTTACTATATAAAACCCAGAATCTCTGTTTAAAAATAAGTTTTGAACAATTTGCGCAAATTTTTGGCAAATTAACTCTTCTTAAACTTTGTTGAACTGCGTAAGAGGCTTCCTGTGACATAATTTTCATATCAATTAACAAAGTAGTTTCAGCGTAATTCTTGATTAATTGAAAAAACCAAAATGACCCATTTTTGGGGTAACATTTTTGTTGAGAATTTCGGAGAAAAAATGGCACCATATTAATTCCGGTGAAATTCTAAGCAACTTTTGTCTTCTTCACTTTTTGTCTAATCTTAACCCAATTTGAGAAAAACGCGTTTGAAAGTTCAAGTTTTGTTCGTTTCGTCCGGATAATTTAAATCAACACTGTAGCAAGTGGATGAATTAGAAACAATGAACTGAAGGAGAAATTCAACGCTACGAGCAGTTCGAAATTATCAGACACTTTGCTAAATTGAAATCGCCAATTTTTAAAGATATAAATTGTATGACCATAACTTTTTTTGATGGCGACAACAAATTATTTGCAAGTAATTTTGAAATTGCTCCGAAAAATTTTTTTGTTTTTTTTCAGCCATTTCATTTTGTACTTAAATTAAATTTTTCCAAAAAAAAAAGCAAATTTTAATTTTTTGTGTGCATAATTTAATCCTGGATAGACCAATGTTAGATTTTTTTTTTCGACGTTTGGCTTTTTTCAAAAACGTTTTAAACTCCTATTGCTTCTGTGTGGAATGTTTATGTTTGCCTTGATCAATATCTAGTAATTTAAAACATCAAATTTCAAAAATTATCATCTTGGGAAGTTTTTGACAAAATTTGAAAAAATCATGCTCTCAGGATATCTTTTGTAAAAGGAAACTTTTATAAAATTCAGGTCGCTTCCAATGCATTTTAATGGGAGACTGTCAAATTTTTGATGACTCTAAGTTTGAGTAACCAAAGTTTTTGTTACCTCTGATGATTTACGAACACAGCCCAAAAACTTCTAACCTAAAAAACCTTTAATTTTGGTTTTCGGGAAAATACTAGTCATACATTTTCCATATATGAAAAATCAAAAGTCATAGACTTTTCATGCAACCTTCTCTGTACCTATGGAAAAAAAATCGAAAAGTGCATGCTTAGAATTTTTCCATAATGAAAATTGTTTGATTAGGATTGGTCAACATGGGAAAGTTGCAAAATAAGAGATACGCATGAGCTGATGTAACAACTAATTTTGAGCCTCCTGTCGGGTTAGAAAATCGGCGTAGTGCGGTCCATGAGTTTGAGTTCTTGAGTTTTATGATTTGAGTCCAGAACCAAGGGACCAATTTTATATCAATTTCAGATCGATTATTTTAAATTGCTTCAATATTTTCATTATGAATCAGGGAGCATACGAAAAAAAGAAAGCGAGAGAAAACTTCATGCATTGTAGATAATCTATGAAAAAATTAGGAGACAGAAAAGCTTACGATTAATGCTTAAAAAATGTTGACTCTTATTATTTTACGATTGGTGCTAAAGAAAAAAGATGGTTATAATATTTAGTTTACCTTGCAGATGAAAATTTGCTAGTATACTTGAACCTCATTGAAAAATTGTTGTCTAAAAGTTTTTCTAAGGAGGTTTATTAAAAAAATTTTAGTCATCATGAAACTTATGAATAAAAAAACAACAGACATGCAAATACTTTAAAAGATCGTCTGAAAAAAAATCTAGGCATCAGTTTCAGAAGTGCAGGCATGCAAATACAACAACAGACATGCAAATACATTCGAAGACCGTATGAAAAAAATTATTGTCATCGATTTCATACATGCAGCTTTTGAAAAAAAAACTATAGACATGCAAACCCATTCATGGATCGTATAAAAATAAACTAGTCATCGACTTCATACATGAAGCTTATCAAAAAAACCACAGATTTGCAAACATACTCATGAATCCAATAAAAACAATCTAGTCAACGTCTTAAAACATGAAGCTTATGAAAAAACAACAGACATGCAAACACATTAATTGATCGTAAGAAAAAAATGTAGTCATCGACTTCATAGATGCAGTTTACGAAAAAAAACAGACATGCAAAATCATTCATGGATCGTATGAAGAAAAATCTAGACATCGAGTTCATACATGTAGTTTTGAAAAAAAAACAGACATGTATATAAATTCATAGATCGTAAGAAGAAAATAAATCTAGTTATCGACTCCATATATGAAGCTAATAAAAAAAAGTAGCAGACTTGCGAGTACATTCACGGATCGTTTGAAAAAAATTTAGTCACCGACATCATACATGAAGCTTATGAAAAAAACCACAGATATGCAAATATATTCATGATTCTTATGACAACAATGTAGTCATCGTCCTAAGACATGAAGCTTATGAAAAAACAACAATCCAGCAAACACATTCATAGACCGTATGAAAAAAACAGGCATCGATTTTTTACATAAAGTGTAAGACAAAAAACCACACACATCCAAAGACGTTTATGGATCATATGATAAAACATCTAGTCATCATTTCATACCAGAAGCTAAAGAAAAAAACAAAAGACATGCGAGAACAATCATGGATGGTATGAAAAAAAATTAGTCATCGACTTCATCAATGAAGCTGATGAAAAAAAAAGGACTGATATGCAAATGCATTCATGATCATATGAAAAAAAAACCGAAAAAATCTAGTCATTGACTTCATACATGAAACTAATAAAAAACAACAGACTCGCAAATTTATTCATTGATAGTGTTAACAAAGACATTTGGTCATTGACTTCATGCATGGACTAAGAACAAAACAACATATGCAAATACATTCATGAAAACTTTGAAAAAAATCTAGTAATCGACTGCATATATGAAGCTATTGAAAAAAATCAAGAGCCCTGCAAAAGAATTCATGGATCGTTTTAACAAAATATCTAGTGATCGGATTCATACATGCAGCTTATGAAATCAACAACAGACATGCAAATACATTCATAAATCCTATGAAAAACAAATGTAGTCATCGAATTCATACATGAAGCTTATGAAAAAAAAAACCACAGATATGCAAATATAATTATGAGTCTAATGAAAACAATATAGTCATCGCCTCAAAACATGAAGCTTATGAAAAAACAACAGACCTGCAAACGCATTCATAATTTAAATGGAAAAAAATAGTCATCAAGAAAAATTTTTTACTTGAAGCTTAAAACAAAAATGTATGCAAATACATTTATGGATGGTTTGATAAAAACATCTAGTTATCGACTTCATACCAGAAGCTAATGAAAAGAAAACAAAAGACATGCAAGTGCATTCATTGGTGGTATGAAAAAAATGTAGTAATTGACTTCATAATTGAAGCTAATGAAAAAAAAAACAACTGATATGCAAAGGCAATCATGATCATATGAAAAAACGAAAAAAAATCTAATCATCGACTTACATGAAGCTAATAAAAAAAAACAACAGACATGCAAAAGAATTCATGGATCGTAAGAACAAAATTTCTAGATAGCAACTTCATACATGTAGTTTTTGAAAAAAAAGACATGCAAACACATTGGTGAATTTTATAAAAATTTCTCACCATCATTTTCATACTTGCAGCTTATGAAAAAAAAACAGATATGCAAATAATTTCATTGATTGTGTTAACAAATACATCTGGTCATTGAATTCATTCATGCAGCTAAAAACAGAACAACAGATATGTAATTACATTCATGAATCCTATGAAAAAATGTAGTCATCGACTTCATACATGAGGCTAATGAAAAAATCAACAGCCATTCAAAATAATTCTTGGTTCGTAAAAACAAAATCTAGACATCGACTTCATACTTGTAGTTTATGAAAAAAAACAACAGACATGCAAACAAACACGTTCGTGAATCATATAAAAAACTCTAACCATCCTTTTCTTACATGCAGCTTATGAAAAAAACAACAGACATGCAAATGTATTCGTTGACCGTGTTAACAAAAACATCTGGTCATTGAATCCCATGAAAAAATCTAGTCATCGACTTCAGACATGAAGATAATGAAAAAATCAACAGACATGCAAAAAAATTCATGGATCGTATGAACAAAAAACCTAGACATCAATTTTATACATGCAGCTTATGAAAAAAAAGAGACATAAATACAAACAAATTCACGCAAACACATACATGCAGCTAAACACAAAACAACAGATAGGTAAATACATTCATGAATCCTGTGAAAAAATCATGAAGCTTATGAAAAAAAAACAGACATGAAAAATTTTCATGGATCGTATGAAAAAATCTAGTCAACGACTTCATCCATGAAAAACAGCAGACTTGCAAAGACCTTTTTGATCGCATGAAAAAAAATTCTAGTCGTCGACTTCATACATAAAGCTTACGAAAAAGAACAGACATAAAAAAAACTTTCGTGGATTGTGTGAAAAAATGTTAGACAATGTATGACATATCAAATAAAACGACTAGACAACGACTTCTTACAAGAAGCGTATGAGAAAAAACAAGAGACGTGCAAATACTTTTATGGCTCGTCTGAAAAAAAATCTAGTCAACGACTTCATACATGAAGCTAAAAAAAACAACAGACATGCAAACACTTTCATAGATCTTATCAAAAAAATCTAGTCATCGGCTTCATACATGAAGCTAATGGAAAAACAAAACACATGCAAATATCTTCATAGATCGTATGAAAAAAAATCTGGTCAACGACTCATACATGAAGCTTATGGAAACAAAACCAACCTGAAAAAACATTCAAAGATCGTATGAGAAAAACATCTAGTCAACGACTTCATACATGGAGCTTATGAAAAAATCAACAGATATGCAAATGCATTTCTGGATCAATTAAAAAAAATATCTAGTCATCGACTTCGTATATGAAGCTAATGAAAAACAAGCAAAGACATGCAAACAAATTCATAGATCGTAAGGAAAAAGATTTGGTCAGCGACTTTATTCATGAAGCTTAGGAGAAAAGCAACAGACATAATAATACATTTATTAATCGTATGAAAAAGCATCCAGTCAGCGACTTCATTTATGAAGCTAATGAAAAAACAAAAGACATGCAATACATTCATAGATAGTATAAGAAACTAGTCATCGACTTCATACATGAAGCTTAGGAGAAAAGCAACAGACATAATAATACATTTATTAATCGTATGAAAAAGCATCCAGTCAGCGACTTTATACATGAAGCTAATGAAAAAAAAAAGCTAATATGCAAACTCATTCATGATCATATGAAAAAAAAGAAAAAAAAATATAGTCATTGACTTCATACATGAAGCTTATGAAAAAGACAAGAGACATGCAAAAGATTTCATGGATTCTATGAACAAAAAATCTAGAAAGAGACTTCATACTTCTAGTTTTTGAAAAAAAGCACACAAGCGAACATATTCATGGATCGTATGAAAAAAAAATCTTGTCATCGAATTCATCCATGAGGCTTATGAAAAAAATTTTTTCATGCAAATACCTTCATAGACCGTATGAAAAAAAATCTAATCATTTACTTCACACATAACTCAAATAAAACGACATGAAAAAACATTCCTCAATCGTCTGAAAAGGTCTAGTCAACGACTTCATACATCAAACTCATGAGAAAAAAAAACATGCAAATACAATTACGGTTCGTATGAAAAAAAAACAAGTCAACGACTTCATACATGGAGCTTATGAAAAAAAAAACAGACAGGAAAAAACATTCATGGATCTGAAAAGAATATCTAGTCAACGGCTTCATACATGAAGCTAAGGAAAAAACAACAGACATGCATTCATGGATCAAATGAAAAAAAAAACATCTAGTCATCGACTTCATACATGCAGTTTATGAAAAAAAAAACAGATATGCATACACATTCGTTGGTCGTATTAAATAAGTTCTAGTCATTCACTCCATACTTAAACCTTATGAATAAACAACAAGCACGCAAAACTTATTTGGATCGTATGAAAAAAAAAACATATAGTCAACGATTTCATACATGAAGCTAAACAAAATACAACAGACATGCAAATACCTTCATCGGCTATATAAAAAAATATAGTCATCGACTTCATACATGAATTTTATGAAAAAAAAAACTAGAAATGAAAACAGATTCATGGATCGTTTGAAAAAAGTATCTAACCAACGACTTCATAGATGAAGCGAATGAAAAACCAACAGACATGCATACACCTTCATAAATTGTGTGAAAAAAATCTGGTCAACGACTTGATAGATGAAGCTTATGAAAAAAAACAGACATGGAAAAACATTCAGGGATTGTATAAAAAACTAGTCAAGGAATTCAAACATGAGGCTTATGAAACAAAAACAACAGATATGCACAGATATGCAAATGCATTCATGATTACATGAAAAAAAAACATCTAATCATTGTCTTCATATATGAAGCTAATGAAAAAATCAACAAACCTCTAAATAAATTCATGGATCGTATGAATAAATCTAGTCACTGACTTCATACATATTGTTTATGAAAAGAAACAACAGACAAGTAAACGTATTCGTGGATCGTATGAAAAAAAGATCTAGTCAACGACTTCAGACAAGAAGCTAAAGAAAAAACAACAGGCATGCATATACATTCACGGATCATATAAGAAATACACAGTCATCTATGTTATGCATGAAGCTAATGAAAAAAGCAACAGACATTCAAATACAATTATGGATCGTATGAAAGACTTATCTGGTCATCGACGTCATACATGAAGCTAATGAGAAACCACCATATATGCATATACATTCACGGATCGTGTGAAAAATATACTTAGTCATCGACGTCATACATGAAGCTGAGGAAAAAAGCAACAGACATGCATAAACACTTATGGATCTTATGAAAAATCATCTAGTCATCGAACTCATACATTAAGCTAATGAAACAAGCAACAGACTTGCATATACTTTCACAGACCGTATGAAAAAAATACTTAGTCATCGACGTCATACATGCAGCTGATAAAAAGCAACAGACATGCATTTACATCCATGGATTGTATGATACAAACATCTAGTCATCGATGTCATACATGAAACTTATGAAAAAAGCAACAAAAATGCATATACATTCATGGATCGTATGAAACAAATATCTAGTCATCGACTTCATACATGAAGCTAAAGAAAAATAACAACAGACTTGTATGTACATTCATGGATTGTATGAAAAAAAAACATCCAGTCATTGACCTCATACACGAGGCTAATAAAAAACAAGAAACATGCATATTTTTTCATGGATCGTATGAAATAACATCTAGTCTTCGACGTTATACATGAAGCTACTGTACAAAAAAAACATACATGCATATAAATTCAAGGATCGTATGAAACAAATATCTAGTCATCGAAGTCATGCATGAAGCTAATGAAAAAAAAAGAAACAGACCTGCATATGCATTTACGGATCGTTTGAGAAAAAACATCTAGTCATCGAAGTCATACATGAAGCTGAAGAAAACAGCAGAAGACATGCATATACATTCATGGATCGTATGAAACAACTATAGTCATCAACATCACACTTGGAGCTAATGAAAAAAAATAACAGACATGCATAAACATTCATGGATCGTATGAAACAAATATCTAGTCATGGAAGTCATACATTAAGCTATTGTAAAAGACAACAGGCATGCATATACTTTCATGGATCGTATGAAAAAAACATTTAGTCATGGAAGTCATACATAAAGCTATTGTAAAAGACAACAGGCATGCATAAACATTCATGGATCGTATGAAACAAATATCTAGTCATGGAAGTCATACATTAAGCTAATGAAAAAAGCAACAGACATGCATATACACTCATAGATCGTATGAAATAACATCTATTCATCGAAGTCATGTATGAAGCTATTGAAAAAAAAAGAAACAGACCTGCATATGCACTTACGGATCGTATGAAACAAATATCTAGTCATCAACTTCATACATGGAGCTAATGAAAAATTATATATATATGCATATACTTTCATGGATCTTATGAAACAAATATCTAGTCATCGAAGTCATACACGAAGCTAATGAAAAAATTTACAGACATGCATAAACATTCATGGATCGTATGAAACAAATATCTAGTCATGGAAGTCATACATTAAGCTATTGTAAAAAACAATAGGCATGCATATACATTCATGGATCGTATGAAACAAATATCTAGTCATGGAAGTCATACATTAAGCTATTGTAAAAAGCAACAGGCATGCATATACATTCATGGATCGTATGAAAAAAATATTTAGTCATGGAAGTCATACATAAAGCTATTGTAAAAGACAACAGGCATGCATATACTTTCATGGACCGTATGAAAAAAATATTTAGTCATTGAAGTCATACATAAAGCTATTGTAAAAGACAACAGGCATGCATATTGGATTGGATGAAACAAATATCTAGTCATCGATGTCATTTATGAAGCTGATGAAAACAAGAAACAGATATGCATATACATTTAAAGATCGTATGAAAAAAAACATCTATTCATCGACTTCGTACACGAAGCTAAGGAAAAAAGCAACAGTCATAACTTTACAATCATGGATTGTAAGAAAAAAAATCTGGAAGTCTAAGTTCAGACTTCTATCCTGACAAAATCAAGTGAAACATAAAATCAATCTATTTAAGTCATGCCGCAATTTAGTACATGTAAACGCTCAAAATTCGTTGTTTTTTATCCAAATGAAAGAACTTTTTTGGTCACTAAAGGGTTCTGTGTGAAAAAATAAGCTAATTTAGATGGAATTTATCCATAAACAGTTTATATGTGAAATTAAATTCAATTAACAATTGAGTTTTCTACATGTGGGAAAACTTTTAAGTTTGGGGCTGTAGAACACAATCTTCTAAGTGGAACTCCAGAACAACTGACTTGCATTAAGGGAAAAAACTGTTGGAAAATTAGATGACACTCATACGATGTTTTAATACGCAATAGTGTAACTTTCATGCAAATTTGTAGACACTGGTTACAAGTGAAAATTCAAGTTTCGTATATGTCTGACTAGTTTTTTTTTTCAAATAAGGAGTAAATTTTAAAAATTTCGTTCGAGTGCGTCCTAAAAAAATGTATGTAATTGTTTCATGATATTGTCCGCATCAGTCACTTCACTTTTTATTTTAATATTCAGAGCCAAAATGTTCACGCCCAAAGAAAAAGAGACGGGGCGCTTTGCAGTTGACTTCGTGAAAATGCAAAAAACAAACAAAGCGCAATATGTTTGGACAAGCTGGAAAATAGAACCCGAGTCTGTCAACAGTGGAAAAGGACTCGTGATCAAAAGTTCTTCCCGCTCCGACTGGGTGTGGCCCGAGAATATGTGGATGCCTAAAACAGGAGAGCCACACTCTTTAAACGGAGGAATAATACAGGATGATTATCATCGAGAGCTGTGTGTCGTAATGGGGAAACACGGGGCTGCTGATATCATGTGTGGAGACGCATCGGTGTGGCGGCGACAACATGTGTATGCTCTCTGCACATACGACTGAGACTTAAGCAGCAATGATGCAGCCCACAATATCAAGCAAAAAGTAAACAAGCAACACAAACCCTAAAAACATACTAAGCGTAGACGAGGGGAAGTTACAAGTTATAACTGGACTCGATGACAACACTTGCTCACATTTTATGCTATCAATTTGACAGGATATGGGTAAACAGAGTTCAATTTTGGGTTTAAAAGCGCCTAAGCTTTGTTGGTGAAAAAGGTATAGTCTGGGTATAAGAAATAACTTTCATCCATGTCTGTTTTTTAGTAGTTTTCTAGCATATTTTATACACAAAAGCATTGCAAGCTAGCAGAAAAGAAATAAAAGGAGAGTCACTAAAACCAAAAAAAAGAATAAAAAGGAAAAATGACTAAAATTTTGGCTCTATATGAGAATTTAAAAAAGTAAATTGTGCGACAACTAGGCCGACAAAACTTTAGAACATTCCCGTAGAACCAAAAACAAAATTGTTGTGATGAAAAAGTTTGAATTTTAATTATATTCCAGGACTTTTAGCACTAATTGCGTTCCATAAAAGGTATGTTTCCAAATAGGTCATCAGGCCGATAAAAAAGAAGCCGAATTTTTTTGCGCAGAATAAACTTTTTAAGCGAGAAAAAAAGAAGAAATTATACGAACCCAAGCACAGTAAAAATACCAATTGCAGCAGTGATTCAAAACGCTAAAAATAACTGAGAAGAAAACTGCCTACATGAGAAAAAAACATTTCTTAGACATGGCAATTAAGCGGACAAAACATAAGAATTGAATAATGGTCAAAAAATTTTTTGAAACGGCTATATTCCGTTTGAACAAAAACAGGACTTGATCAGATTTCAACATAGAACTTCGACGTTCTAGGCGTATTCAATATAAACCAAGATGTTATATGATTCAAGTGATTCTGTTGAAAAAGTGATTGACCAGAAAATATGACTAAATAACAATTTGATATCGCTTGCGATTAGCTGGTTATTTTACATTGTATGATTTTTTAAGGTTGTTGAAATCTTTGAATTGATCAGCAATAGTCTTTCTTGTTGCCACGATATAATATCTGACTACCAGTGGTCCTAACGTAAAAACACTGGTAAAAATTCTTTCCTAAGTTTTTGCAAGGGTGGTGTGATGTAAATGGAAAAGTGTTGAATTTGGTTAGATCGGCCGTTGCTTTCCGTTTGTGACAGACGACATTTTAAATCTCATTGCAGCCGAGACTGTTTCAATCTGTAGGTTTTTTTGCGTTCTGGTTGGTAGTTCGTAGCGTTGGTTTAGTGCTAGGTTGCGTCTCTTTCAGCGGTTCCTGAGCTGAACGTTGTTAGAACTTCAGGGAAGAGTGTTTAGCAAAGTTGACTACTGATTAGCATAGTAGCGGAGTTTGGGTTGAGTCAGTTGTTGAGTTATGGTTTTCTTTTTTAGAGAGTACAACCTTTTCTACTGAGTTTTGACGGAAGATCGGCTCAGTTTTCAGACTCGACAAGCTTTGTGTACTATCTAAGTTTTCGGTTTGAAATAATTGAGCTAGAAAAATTTACAATCATTGTCATCTGACAGCGATGTACTATTTTGAGATCCCCCTTTGTACTATTTTGAGATATCCATTTTTGGTGACGGACCCTAAAATTTTTCTAAAAGCGCCCTTGGCGCCAATATATTTTAATTTTGAGGGGGGAGCTCGCGCCAAAAAAACGCGATTTTTTCGTAAACATTTTCCAAAAACTGCCTAAAAACGCCTTTTTTGACTTTTTTTCAAAATTTTGCCTGCGGCGTTGAAATTTTTGCCAAAACAGTGTCTTTGTAGTGCTTTAAGAGAGCTCAATAAATCAATTTGGTCGACCTAAAAAAAAGGTCGACAAAATTTTAAATTTTAAATTTTTTTTTGAAATTATGCCCCCCCCCCTCGGGAAAATCCTAGATCCGCGCCTGTTCAGAGGGATTTGCATGTGGGTTCTTAGTTTTTGTTCTTCTTCTCTCAGCAATGATTCTTGAAAGAGAAAATCAGCGATTTTTTGACTTGTAACAACTAACTATTCAGATCTTCCCAACATGTTTTGCTTGTGTTGGCGAGATGCTCAACTATTGAAATTAACGTTTCTGGACATTTTTTAAGTGCTCTGTGTGCTCTTTTTGCAGTGCTCTTTACTGTTATTTGCCGTTTATTTTATGGTTTTTAGGAAAATGTGAGATTTCGGTTTTTTGAATATCTTTTATTTCGACAATGCGGTCTCAAGTTTAAAAGCGTTTAAGCATTGAAGAAGGTATTTAGGATTTTATATGGCTCCATCATTCGTGATTTTTTTTCAATTTTTAAAATCGATGAACCCATTTGACTTTTAATGCCAAGTCAACATAGTGGTGCAGAAGTAGCTTGCACTTCAAAAATGAAATATTTTTTCGCATCGGGTTTGGCGGAGTTTCTGTTTATCTTTGTTGCTTTTTTTTGTGTTTGTAGATGGGTGTGTTTGCTAAATTTTCCTGATTTTTGCGCAGCAATTCCGACAACACAAGTGCATTAATAGGTGCCAGTGGACAAATTAGGTGATGTTAGCGAAGATTATCAGAAAGTTCGATATTCACTACAAACAAATACCCAACTTGCGAGTTTGTGGCTGCGGATAAAACTGTTTTCCACGTTGAACGTGTCATTTAGCTCCACAGATTCGCTTTTTCCGATTCAGAACGTTTTATTCTGTGCTGTTCTATCGTAAAGGTTTTTAGCGTCAACCATAAACATACTAGTCTCTGGTTGATTTTTGTCGTAGTTCTGAAGCGCCGGGGCATTGGCTTTACTGTGGCAACAGTCGAAAATGTTTCACAGTGAAAATTAATAAAAAATTAATCCCTAAAAAACTAACAAAAAATAATCCATTAAAATGACAGATAAAACTTAATTCTCTCAAAATGAAAGATAAAGTTAATATAAACTCACATAAAATCATCAGTTAAATTATCCTTTTTTCCTCATAGCACCTTTTTAATCATTGAATGGTAATTTGAACTAATAGCTCTATTGTAATCTAACCTCATCTGATAATTTAAAACCACCGCCAATTATAAGCTCGAATACCACTTTTGAAAGTTGCAGTTTCCAAACAACTGATAATCAAAGCGAATATAATAGCAAGTGATTAAAAGACAAAAATAATGTTAAAAAAGAAACTTTTCGAAGAAAGTCATTTTAACATGCCGGAATCAACAACAGAACATTTTTTCAGATATATGTAATTTATGGGACGGCTGATTTTTAACGGCTTCGTCGTCGGAAAAAGTTTTTCATCCTGCTCGAACTATACTTTCCAGCAACTCTTCAATCCTCTCGAACTATGGTCTTCAACCTTTTTTCCTTCAAAACTTTAAGGGTATGTGCCCCCCCCCCCCCCCCCCCCCTCGTAATTTCAAACAACTGCATAGTTAGTTTTGAAGAATTCAACACAAGAATCGATTTCTTCAGTCGACAAGTTGCTGAAATCGTCTGGATTATTAGCCTAAAACTCAGTGTGATTCTAGCAGAACTGTCCTTAGCAAATAGTGCAACTGCTCACTTGAAACACATAGCGCTGATCGTCGTACGTCGAGAGGGCATTTTAATTCAAGATGATGATCTTCATATAAAGTGATCACAATTAATTCGTGTAATCATTGCTCGATAATAGTTCTCATTATTTTAGTGAAGATGGTTTTGATTTATCAAAAAATGATGAGCTGATCTGCATAAATGATGCCTGAAAAAAAATTATATTTCTTTTTCCTGATAATTCTTACTATATATATTTTCAATTATTTTTCTTTTTTTTTCACAAAACTTTTTTTAAATTCTTTTTTGATCTGAACATTCTGTGAAACCATTTGTTAGTTGTAGTGTTTATCGTTATTAGTTGATGCTAGAGCTGGCCAGGGGGGTGAAGCTTGGCTGCTACCCATGTATTAAGATGCGCTATAGAGTTCAGGTCAGTCATGCTATGTATTAAGATTAGTTATAGAGTCTACATTGTATTAAAATAGGGAATACCAATGGTAACGTTTTATGGCATGTGTAATGGTAAGTAGCTGAGTCTCTGAGAAGATACAATAGGCACTGAACCATTTATTGAAATGCGGTATCTGAATTACACGAAGTACATTAAAAATGAGTATAGAAGCATCTCGTAAGCGGGACTACCAGCTATGCCCCCCCCCCCAAATGGAGGCAGTATTGTCCTTCAGTTTGTCGCGGTAGCTCTAGAGACCCGCTGTCTAGAGGTGACATACTCTGAATACTTGGTCGTCTGTTGCTTGTTGATTCTTGCAGATTTTCGAAGCGGCTCTGTAGGAGGCGTCAATATCGTCGCTGACTGTGTTTGAGGTATGGCAGCGAGGGATCGACCGCATGATGATGGGCTTGACGACTCAACTGCCAAGCGACTCTGATTGTCGACGTTCGCTTCAGTTCCAGTCGCACTTTTGTCTTCGGTGTGGTCACCACTCTGTCGGTCTGGTGTATCAGTGCATCGACTGTGTCCGTTGGCGTTTCTTCCTGGGGCGATAACTCGACTGCTAGATCGTCCGTCGTCTATCGTTAAGAGCCAACGAGAGTCGTGGCGATAGCTACAGTTGGCTGTTGGTGCAACCGTTGACAGGTCTGGGAGTGGATTTTGGTGTGATAGTGATCGAAATCTCCGAATGTGTTTCCTGTTGCGCAATGTTAGACGTTGGTCAATTGGTAAGGCTTTTTTCACAATTCCTCTTTTGTCCCAACAATTAGGGTGATTACCTGACAAATTTTGCAGCATGACACGTTGTCCAGTGGTCAGACTTGGGAGTGTTTCAGCTGAATTTGACCATTATTCTTGATCTGCAGTGGAGCGTTTAGCAAGGGCTAATTCTCTCCAATCAGCGTCGCCAGGTCTCGTCCAAGTCGGCTGAACTTGTGATAAACCTGTATCACAATCTGGCGTGTTTCGATAAGTTGAAATTGTTTTGGAAAGTGTTATTGTATTCAGACCTCCGTCAAGTGGTAGACTTTCTCTCAGTAGTGTTTTGGCGGTTTTAACTGCAATTTCGGCGCGCCTGTTGGAATGCGGGTTGCCAACATACGTTTTCCTGTGATGTTTATATCAACTCCTGCAGGTTTCGCTTGTTTTTGCGATATCTTTCGTCATGCCTGGCCAGAAAACTGACTCTTCTGCTCTGAGGGTCTTACTGGTTACACCTTGGTGTGCACTGTGT